AAATTTCAAAATAATTCACGATCAAAACATATTCCCATCTAAACTTAAGTATATTATTGACTTATTTATTTTCGCATTTTTCTAACATGAAGCTTTCGCCCCAAATGGCTACACTTTTGGAGAGCAATTTTAGGCTATCTCGACAGCATGAGAAATATATTTCTTGTTGAAATTATAGAATCAGTTTAAAATAATACCTCCAGTTCCGAAAACATTTCACCCATTTCTTTTGTTGACGATTCACTTCCACATACCACTGCAAAAATGTGATCGGAATGGATTTTTGCTTAGATGTATAATTACTGACACAATTTTCGTCTCATGTTACAACTACAACAAAAATATATAATGACTTAAAACACAAACCATTTTTGTACATGCGAACATCAGTTACGCCAGTATTAACACCTGACATGTCATTAATAGCACTATTGCTAGAATGACTCGAATAATTTGACGGAAGTGATACAGCTATTTTTGAAGCAGAATCGTCCATTTCGTGGTTTACGACTATAAATCAGAGCTAACGCTTTTAAAATGCAGCAAAATTTACCCAAAGGAAAAACAAAATAGGGTGATGAAAATGTTGGTAATAATCCTGAACAAGGAAAAATTCACTACGGATATCAACATTCTCATGCATAAAAGCGAGAATTTAAATCGCAAGTATGTAAACACAAAAAAGTAGGAAAGCAAAACATTTCTAATTATGCAGATAAAATGAAATAACAAAGATCTTACGATCTGCAACGGCTTCCATTTCATCTCCTGACTTCAAACTGAAACAAAAATGATCCTTCAATAACTGCGAAAAGTCTTTAAACTGCTCATTAATGTGAAATCCAAAAAACAAATTTATCAGAAAAACATTACTTACTTTGATTCCACACTATCTGAACTTGTTGTATCACTCACTGTAATCAAAGTAAGAATATTAGCATATTTTTTCGAGATATGTTATCGATTTGTAAAAAAAAATTTTTTTAATGAAGTAATGTTAAGAATTCTTTCAGTACATTCCAAAATTTCAGATTTTATTTCCTCATTTTCTTTACTGCATATTGATAAGTTATACAACTGAAAACCTGGCATATAACTCTAAAGTCAAACGTAAATGCTTCATAATTTTGCTAAATGGCAATTTTTGAAGTCGGTATAACAAAATCTGATCACATGAAAGTTAAAAAACAATTTTTTTAATTAAAAAATGTTTGAGAATTACATGTCATTAATTCGACTTGTGGAGCACGAACAATTCTGGCGCTGTCCGCATCAAATTCTCTGCAAACCATAACGTTATACTATATTTCAGAACATCTTACTTATTGCATCAAATTGATAATGACAATAAGAAGCTAAATATAACGTACAATAGATAACGCCTTTTATTCTGTTCTTAACTCCGGCTTATTTCAAAGAGATTTGCAAAAAAATAATCTCATGGTCTGCTAAAATAACTGAAACATTCGTCACTCTTTTCAGTCACTGAAAATACTGCAATTTTTAATGCATCTCTGTCAAATCAACGTTCTTGACTAACTGAATAGTTAGAACACGGTGGAAGCTAACACGTCGCTTTGTCGTATTTGTCATCGTCAATGAAGACTCACAACTGTCAACATTCATAGATTGCTGCATTTTCAATATCTACAAAATGAAATAAACAAATGCATCTCAGGCAATAAAATAAAGTGTAAGAATGACAAAAAGAAATTGTTGAGAAACCAAATAAAGTCATGAGAAACCCAAATAAAGTATTTACATTCAGAGCATACCGATGATCTTCGTTTTTTAGGCGATGTATTTTGCATCACTTCTCACAACCACTGTTACTTGCATCAATAAAGTGAAATGACTGCATATGCATATTTATATATCGACGGTAAACAATATGAGAATCAATTAATTTATGGATTATGCAAAAAAAATTACAGCCGATATAAAGTATTCTGTTGTCTCTTTAAAAATTTAGCGCCAAAATTGCACAGTACTTTGTGCAACACAACAGTTCAGCCGAAATTCTCTCAAAAATTAAAAATTTTTGCAGATACTAGGCTGAAATCAGTGAAAGAATTTCGCAATCTAGCTGTTCTAAACTATATCTTAAAATAAAACACGGGGATACAATAAGATTTGATAAATCTCTATCAAAAAACGACCTTATTTTTTGATATCAGTTTTTCACTGCGTACCCGTCATTGTATTGCAGTGAGATGTCATTTCAATAATTTATTTGTCGACTCCTGATGAATTTACCCACTAGGGACAGATGGTTGGTTGTTGCTATTGCAGGTGTAATTTTTGTCTTACTATATATAGTTGCGGTGCTCTATATTATATTTACGTTTTGAATGAGTGCGCAGAGCACGTGAGTTGTTGGGGCATTACTTGTATATATACCACAAATTACGATATTAATATGTAACTATATATATATATATA